AACAGATTATACAAATACAAAAATCTACTGGACAATCAACTGCAAAAAGGAACAATTAGTGAGGTGGAGAAAAAGTGACTGTTCATTGAAACACCAGTGTTGTAATTTGTTATGTGGACAGAACAACCCAGAAGCTCAAAGGATGCCTACTTTGCCGAGAAATGTTGTCTGCAACACTGGTGTTGTCTTCAGATATATTATCACTCACATCACTGATGTAAGACTCATCATCGGAAGCCTAAGGAAGGAAAGAATACAGAAAGGATCAGAATTTTTGTTCAGTCTTGAGGGGTGAGAAAAATCAAACAATGAAACACAACAAGATGTTGCCCAAATGAGAAGCAGAGGTCATAGTGGGGAATGTACTTGGCACATGTGCAGTGAACACTTCAGGGTCTTCCATGAGCCAGAATATAGGATTCGTCAAAGTAGCCCTGTCTTTAAGTAGCTCTCTGTCTTAGTTGGAGTAAGAGGCTGGGGGAGGCCAGGACATAACCAGAAAGATTTCAGTACAATGCAGTAAGAATGTACAAAAAAGGAGGCCCTATGACTCCCCTTAGAGGAGTCAGGAGAGGCTGCCCAGAGAAAATAATATTTACACTGGGTGTTGGGAAAATTATTAGAACAGGGAGAAGCGCAGGAAGAAGGGAGGGTGTGCAAAGGCAAAAGCCACAAGAGAAACATTTAATCCAGAGATGCTAAGAAGCTGAGTGGCTATGCCAGAATTTGGGGAGAACAGGAAGAGGCTCTGACTACGAGGACTTTTCACGTCAACATAAAGGGTTCACATATAATCTTATGAGTTATTAAATGCAAGGGAATGATAGTATCATATTTAGTTTCAGGAAGATACATGGCAGCTTTCCCTAAGGAGGACAGATAATAGGATTCTACACAGGTCCGGGTAAGAAATACTGACATCTCAGATTAAGATTGCCACAATGGGGATCTGCAGACAAAGCTGCTTAGAGAGCCATGTCTCAAGTGTAATGAACAAAATTTGGCAGATTATTTGTGCGTGGGGGAGGAAGATTTAGGGATAAGAAGAAACCAAGAATGAAGACACTCTCTGGGTGAGAAAAACATGGAACTAAAATGAAACCAAAATTTGCATGAGAGTAAAATTTAGGGGCAACATATGTACTCAGGGGAGTTAGAAATGGAGCAGATAAGAAAACAGAGGAGTATGGTAGAGCTATTTAGAGGAATGAGAAAACCTAATGTCTCTACTGCAGGCAAGAATGCTAACGGTATTTATTTACTTTCTTCAAAATGGAAATAGTGCTATATTTTTTCCTGCACATAAAAACAAAACACTCTTATTGTAAAAAATTAGAGGGTAAACAGATTATACAAAAATCACCCATCACTCCATCACCTAAAAGAAACCACTTTTAATATTTGGTGGATGTTACCCCCAATTTCAATGCCTACACAAACATATTGATGCATCTATCTTCAGATACTGAAAAAGGAAATCAGCTTACATATTAGGCTATAGTGCTCTGAATATATTTCCATTCTAATAAATATAGCTCTTCATCTTTATTTGGAATGACAATGTATTTCATTAGACAGTTATAACACAAGGAATTTAATCAGCATTTAAGTTGTTGCCGACTTTTTATTATTACAGACAATACAATATATTTCTGTAAATCTGTCTGGCAATTTCATTAACATTTATTCCTAATAGTGAAATTTCTAGGTCAAATGGATCACTTTTAAGCTTTGTACCATGATGTCAAATTGCTCTCCCGAAAGACTATTCATTTGTTCTTACCAGCAGTATATGAGAGCATCCGTCTCTCCACACCCACTTAAACACTACACTTACCAACCTTTTTAGTATCTACATACATAAAAGGTCTCTTTTTAAAGTTTGAATTTCATCTTCTGTTAATTTTTCTTAAATTTTACATATTTTTCAGGTTATCATATAGGTTACACATTTTCTTAGTTTGCAATATATTTTTTAGCATTGTGCCATTTTTTTTGCACAAAAAAACTTTTTGTAGAAGTTTTAAATTTGTATGTGATAAAACCAGTCAGTCTCTGCCTTTAAGATTTATGTATTTATTGCTGTTACTTTTAAAATTAGGGTTGAGAAAAGCTCATATATTTAGGGAGAACAAAGCGATGGATAGAATGATCACATGCATACATGAACAATGACAGTTTTGCTTCTGCACACTGAGCAAGTCTATAAAGATAGCAAATTGAGAATAAAGTCCTTTTCTGATTCTTATTTTCCCACTGCAACTGACTTCCTGTTCCCATTGACTGCAACAAATCTCAAAATTAAACCATCAGGCTCATAAAATTCACCTTCTTAAACTTGATAGAAAAAAAAAGTAGACCAAACTCTTCCACGTGATTTCTCTGAAAAAAGCTAACTACGCACAATTCTGTTAGAGACAAATGACTACCCAAACCAAATTCGTGTTGCATGCATGTTCATTGTTTGAACAATTTGTTAAGAAAACACTCATGTTTATCTTACAACAAGCTATAAACAGTCTATTCCTCTTCAATTTCTAATCTCTCCCAAACTAATATATGATAGAAATGGTCCAATACCCGCATCCATTTAGAATGGTCCATGTAGAACGTAAAAGAATTCTTCAATGATGTGGGCCCTGAGTAAGATCTGTATCATAGGTGTCAGCCATAGGCTGGCAGCCCGATCCACTCATGTCATCCTGTACTTACATAAAGTTAAGGCTTTGCAGTGTTATAATAAAACAGTGACTATATATTCATTTTCTCTCCCATGGTCAAGAAGTCCTGGAGCCAAATATTTCTCTGTACAGGCTTAGGGATCCAAAAGAGTTCAGGAAATCTTTTTTTCTAAATGCAACCAGGCATGTAGCATTGCAGAAACAAGTTTAAGAGCAAAGGTAAGGGAGTAGATCACTCTAGAAGCAAGAAGAGCATTCTTTTAAAGGGCTGTGCACTCATTAAGTGAAGTGCCTTGGTTGGTATCTCATACAGAGAATTTTTTGCTTGGTTATAGAAAATGTTAATGGAAAACAGCTAATGGTCAGATGTTTCTTAAATTACCCGTGTGTTCAGGTGCTCTAAGCATTCCTTCCTTAGGTTAGCAACTATTTATTGAGTACCTCTGGGCTCCCCAGAACTGCTCTAGTGCTGGGGACACAGTGGTGAAATCTCTTCCCTCATGGAACTTACATTGCAGTTGGGGGGACACACACAACAAACAAGTGAAACATATATTTTGTTGGACAGTGATAATAAGCGTGAAGGGAAGAAAATAAGGCAAGAAGGGGATATAAAAGGTCAGTGGAGAAGAAGAAATGGTGGCTCTGAGCTGTAGATAAGGCAGCTGGGTAGGCTTCCCTAAAGGTGACTTTTGAGTAAAGGACTGAAGGAGTAAGGAATTTGAGTATGTGCTCCCTGGGAAAGTATTCCAGGCAGGGTGGACAGCAATTGCAGAGGCCCACTCTCCTTTGGCAGCTGTAGTGCAGAATCTACTGCTGGAGCCTGCAGCTGCTGCTAGGATTCCCACATGGAAGTAAACTAGCCAGGTGGGCTCGCCAAGTCTGTTGGTGTGAAGACTCGAGGAGACTTCTGGGGGGATCTCATCACCATGGAACTTAGAGATGGCAGGTGATGTTGACTCAGTAACAATCTTATCCCAAGGAAGTGAAGGAAAATACCCAGGTATTTGATGTGAACACTTAGGTAGAAGAGTACTTAGATAAGCAATAAGCGAAGCATGGGTAAGTTTGTGTTTTTTTCCTTGGTGTGTGTGTGTGTGTGTGTGTGTGTGTGTGTGTGTGTGTGTGTGTGTAAGGGGTTTGTTGATTAATTTGTTTTTGGATGTGCTGAATTAGAGCACCCAGTTGGCAATGTCTCACAGGCAGCTGGTTACTGAGCCGACTCTTACTCTCTTCTGACCTGCTCTCTCTTTAAGCTTTAGACTTGAATATCCAAATGCTGGCCAGATAACTCTACTGAGAAATCTGATGAACTCAGAATGTCTCAAAATGAACATGGCATCTCCATGCCCCTCTGCCCTCTACTTCCTTGTGCCTCTCTCTGCCATTCTTCCCTTGGGGGTGGCACCACCATCTTGCTTGGATTTGTGCAATAACCGGCTTCATGTCCTCTTCATTTCTGCATTGCCAGTGTCTGATACAATTGGCAATTGGGCTCCCAGTTGGGTGCGACCCCCAGAGCTTGGAAACAGGGAAATAAGTTTGCTTTCTGGGAGATAAGCTATAGTCATCAGATGAGGGTCAGAGCCCAGATAATGTGGAGTCAAGTTTGACTGTAACCTGATGGAAGAAGAAGGACTGGTCAGCAATGAGAGCTCAGAAAAGAAAACACTGGTACCATGTCTGCACATGATGGTTCCTAGGGAAACAGAGATTGGCTCACACACACAAATGCACTCTCCACGTGCCAAGTATCCCTCTAATGCAGATGAAACCTTGTAGCTATTACGTCCTGGCTCTCCTAGCCTTGAGTTCACGCAACTCACTTTTCCTGCTCCCATTCCTTCCTCGCTCACCAAACAACCTCCTGACTGCAATTAGACCGCCCCTGCAGATTTGCCTATAGGAAAAGGGACAGTAATCAGCAAGCATGATTATTTTGTCTATCTGATAGTATCAATTATCATTATGAATAATTAAACTAGTACTCTGGCTTGTGAATGGGAGTCTGTGAATCCGTTAATGCATGACTAGGGATCTGAGAGGCAGGTGAGTGGCATGGTGCGGTGACAAATTTAGTATCTGCCACAAGAATTCTATTTTACCTTTTCTCCATTATAAAAGTGATATATGTGTTCATTACTTCTTTTCCACTTATTTATGTTTCTAAAATCACTCATAATTCCAAACAGCCACAAACAACTACTACTAATTATCAGGAAGTTTTCTTCCAATCTATTTTCTATGCATATGGAAATAACACTTAGCAACTATTTCATTTCCTTTTTGTGAAAATGCAGTACAGATTTACAATATCAAATGACAAAATTTCTAATCAAGAATTTGACTGCTTCTCCCATGCAAAAAAGAAAGAAAGCATACTTGACTGAATTTCAGTGAAAAAATAAATTTCTGCAACCTAACCAAAGAAGATATTCCCTGTTTCCAAGACCTTGCCAAGACTCATGAGCATGAAAAATAACCCAATAATGCTTTTATGATAGCCAGTGGTAACCTCCAAAAACCATAATTACCCTACTAGATGTGCTATACATTGCCTTTCTAAGCTAAAATTTATATCTCTAGCAAAGATGTATTTAAATATATTATATATGTGTATATATATAATATACACACATAGATATATGTGTGCACACACACATGTGCAAGCTTGAATGATTTTTCAAATTCTCTATTCTTTCCACATTTATTAGCTAGTCTTCTATAAAAACACTCTGTCATCAGCTATTTGGTTACCCTCAAATATTAATCATACGAGAAAGTCAAAACAAATGCTTGATTCTTTCCTTTTATTCATCAAATTTAAGAGTCATAAGTTGATGGCCAGAAGCACTAATTGCTCAGTACATGGGAACTAATATAGCTTGCATACTTTTGGCCTTGCTACAATTTGGACATCTTAACATGATGTTAAAAAAAAAAAAAAGTTCCATAGTCTTACTTTCTTTAACCCAAACTCACAGTCAGAAGCAGTTGGGAATGACACATTAAGGAATCTTACTTACCTCATTCTCTGATGAGCTGGCAGACAGGAGCACTTCTTGGGCATCGAAGAACTCAGAGACAGACTCTGACATGGAGAGGCGGCTCTCATTGGCTACTTGCTGTGACAGGGGGAGACTGACATGGATTTGCTCACCGGCCTACAGAAGAGAGAAGCATATGGTGTAATTGTTACTGGAGCAAAGAATAGCTATTTGTTCAAATTAGACCATGATGTACTAGCCAGATTTCTAGAGAAATTCATACCATATGTTAAAAGAGTTGTGGCCACAAGTAGTTTTCACTTGCGACTCAGTAATGACCACTGCATAAATTTCCTTTCAATATGTCTAAAGAATCTAAAATGCATGGTTGAAAGGTGCTGGTAGCATGATTTGATTTTAAATCTATGCTTAATTGATATTAACTGGAATTTAACAAGTTGAGTCACTATCAATACCAAGAATTCATTGTAGACACAAGTTCATTCTCATATACTTAGGTCTGTCATTACTAGCCATATTCTAACCAGTATACTAAACCTCAAGAAGTATTTGTAGAAACCATTATAGATATTGTAAGAAAACAATCTACAAGACTAATTTTTATTAGACAGGATCTATAAAATTCATTTTCCAATTTGATTAAAATTTTAGCCAATGAAACATATAACTAGACATTAAGCCTCATTTAAAACTGTATTTTTATTCAGTAAGTGATAAATATTGTTCTCTAGGAAGCTATCTAAGTTTCAATAAGAAAAATATGTAAGACAACTATTATATATATATATATATATATATATATTAGTACATATTTCAGATTGGAAACAAGATTCAAACTGAGACTGTGAACTAATTTTTGAATGACAAAATTTTAGAAATACTTCTAAGTTCTAGGCAATTGAGTGAACATAAGTGTTATCAGAGATCATGGTCCCATGAGGTAAATAGACATGTAGTGAGTGGGCAACTTAAAGAGAAGTGGCCTTGGAATGGTATTTCTAAGCAGTTAGATGCTAGAACCCTCACACCTGTAGATTTCTAGTAAAACATGTTTTTAGTGCAAATATGACCTTCATATTAGTAAAAACTCTCACCTTGTTTTAACTAGTTGTTAAAACCTTGTTACATGTACCACTGTATCTGAAGCTTAAATATTACTGTTGAAAAGTATAAATTCTCATGGTTATAAAATAGTAATATTATAAAGGGCTATAAAAAGAAGTACACACTTAAGTTTAGCCCAAATACTAAGAGTTCTCCTAGCTTGTTATCATTGCTTCAAAAATTCTTCTGAAAATGGAATAATAATAGCACCTACCTCAGAGGGTCATTGGGAGTATCAAATGAGATACACATGTAAAGGGGTTAGCACAATGCCTAGCACATAATCAGCATTCACTCAACACATTTTAGCTATTATTATTATTATCATCATCATCAGTAGTAGCTGTAGCAGCACCACTAATATTATCTTAGAAAGGTCAGGTGACTCCTTAGGACTTTTAAAATAAACCTTAAGAAAACTTTTATTTAACACCTTCTCAGCTAAAAATGTTTCTTTCAACATTTCACGGGCCATTTCATGATAATAAACTTTTCAAATGAAGACTGAGACAGACACAGAAAATTCATAAGCTTGAGTATATATAAGCTAAATATTGAGTGGTTCAGGTGAACACAATATGAATAGATAAAAATATACATTGATCACCAAGAATAAATGATGTCAAGCTCATGTACATCCTTTATTCCAAAGAACACTGAACTGTCAGCAACACAAATATTTATTCAGGGAATCCATTAAAAGTAAAAGAACTGTATAAAAATAAACAAAAATATGCAGTAGATATAGATGCTACAAAATAAGTACTCTATAGCTATTAAAAATGAGCCTTACCTCATCAGGGCTAGGAATAATATTTACGCTGACAACCTGATCACAAATAATAGATTCTGAATGTATTCTGCTCAACCGACTCCTTAGGTCAGCATTCTGGTTGAGTGCCTTAAAAATAACAAAAACTGCATATGTAATTTCAAATGAATAAGCAAGCATTAAACAGAACAGCACACGGGTACATTTTAGACATCAAAGACTATGATGTTCTTATTTGTAACTTTTGGAGTCATCATAGGCCAGATCCTACTATTAAGAAGGAAATAAATGACTCAGAAGTAAGGTATTCATTTCTTTTTTGTAATTTAAGACCACTACTTAGTAGGTTAGTGGGTTGAAAGAGTTCATGGATTTCATAAAAATGATGTATGGAATTTTCTCTCCCTTCATGTTAGGCCCATTACATTTAAGCCCTGTCTGCCACCACATATATATTACATTTTTACATCCTGGGATAAAAATTATTAATTCTTTCAATTTATTGTTTTAGTTTCTAAAGTTTGGGAGTCATTTCAAAGCCAGAGTGTTATCTTAAAAATGATTTGGAAATGGAATGAACAAAAACTGACTTTACATTTTATAGAATTATATTTTAGTTTGGTGAAAGAAAACAGTTGTATTTTTCATTTTCCAGGAGCACATCATTAATACATATGACAGTGCAGCAGAGCTAACTCAAGCGCAGACCAAACGATGCCTTCACTGAAAAGTGTAGACATCGACAAGCATAATAAAGAACATAACACAGAAAGGAAACTACCTCCAAGTTATATGCATCACATTACTTTCAGCATAAGGAAAACACCATGTGCTAGGACACAGTTTGGTGTGCACGTCAAGAGAACAGCTTAACATAAGCATGGTGCCCTACAGGGGCCCTGGGGACAAAGGTACATGCATCACACTGATGCATGGGAACATGTCCCACACACATAAGACAGATGAAGCTACCTGGAGCTGTGTCAAGTCTCAAGTAAAAGACCTTTGTGAGTGAAAGGCTGGGCAGCTCCTTTCCTTCCCATTAAAATCACCAGTAAGAAGATGGAAGTGAATGTTTTAGAGAACAGAAGACAAACGTCAGGACTTACTGAAGATAAATGTCATGACATCTGCCCAAGGGAAGCAGCATTCTGCTTTTCTTCATTTAGAGTCAATGAATACAGTAAACCACTACATATACAAATGTCATATCATAATTATAGCTCTGTACCTATTAGAATACTCAGGATCAATTACAAAGTGGCTAAACGTCACATGTGCATAGCGCAGTGCACAGTCCTTGGGCATGGAGCGTAGAACAGCCTCTCCTCTCTCCCTTCTACCCAGCTTCTGCTTTTTGAGGAGAAAATTGTTCACTTGCAGCTTTTGGCTTTTGTTTAAAGTTTTTAGAACCAACTTGTAAAATATGTGCGAAATATAACACACTTGGTCTTGTGGGCTGTCAAGTATTGATGGATTAAAGATGGATACAGACCTTACAATCATTACATTTGTGGACAGGAGGAAATGCGTGTCCAGTGTTAGTAAATAAACTATGTGTTTCAAAAGGAAGAATCCTAATATATTTACATGCTGCAAAATTGCTCAGGGTCATTTTTCTTGTAGCAAAATCTTAAACACTTGGAATTTGAAAAAAAAATACTGCATTACTTGTATCCTTTGTGACTACTACATGTATGCTTATTGGTTCTTTCATTATTTCTCTGTCCACAATGTATACTAAAAGCTGTCTTAATTCTTGGAATAATTGGAACCAGATGTATTTTGCTGTCTTGGAAGTGGGAGGCCTCATGGCAGATTGTTGGATGGTTTTAACTACAGAATCACAACCTTGACCTCAGGGTTTCCTACAAACCAACTAATGGTGACTTTACCCTCTGTTGCCACTGGAACAGAGTTAATGGAACAATGCCCACCCCCCACCCCACCCCCGCCCCAGAATTCAAGGGCGAGGATACATAATGATTTTCCTCAGGATGGGATTTCAACACAGGTTTGCCATTTATAAGGAAAGTTGTTGATCTGTTTGTTCTGGATATTTTAAAAAGTTAAATTCTCATTTAAGCTCTCATCTCGTCCAATATTCATTGACTGTGATCCTGCTGACAGGAGTTATGTGAAGGCACACAGGGAATGGGCTCAAATTTTTAAAGGAGTATTTTATTAATATGTACACAGTGGTAGAGAAACACTGTTACACAGCACAAAAAGACTGGAAACAAATACGATTGCAACTCTGACAACCCCAGTGGGAGGAAGTGTAAGCACACAACCGAGCATGCAACGGCCCTTTCTGTGCATCTTCCCTAGTGGGCTCCTCCTTTTGCCTTGATCATTCGGACTGTTTTTGAAGTTTGCTGCAAGTGCCATGCGCTTTATGGGGTAGCACTCTCAGGTAATACTTAGGGTCACATTTATTATTTCCCTCCTTGAAACTCAACTATTTTCTCTGTTATGGAACGGTATCTTGGAAGCCTTGGGAACACTGAGGAATACAGGTATTTATAGTGAAATGATGCCATTAGTGATAATTAGCATAGAACAGCCCAGATAATGGCAGGAACAATGTATGGAATGCACCTAAGGAGCATGAACAGTGATGAAGCAAGGAAAAAGGAGGCAGATTACCAGCCACTTGTGCCAGCCAATGAGCAAGAAAAGCTATGGGGACTTGTCAGTCATAACACTAGTGTCTTAGTGGCCTCTAGGACCAAAGGCCTACCAGGGAGGCTCAGGAACTCTGCCTGGATTCTTCACCAGGCAGATTCTATGTTTATTCCCACGCCTTGCTTTCGTTAGTCAGCTCAGACTGCACTAAAAACTCTCCACAAGGTACGCTCATTTCCCCAATGTCTCACGTCCCTCAGACACGTTCAAGTCTAATATAGCCAAGAAACACACAATTCCTTTCCAATCTATAAAAGAAGTTACCATCTTGAAGATCTGAGCCAGAATCAATTGCCCAAATGCCCATTTCCATGGCTATGAAGTAATTCACCCACCCAATGGCAGACAATGGATGAGAACGAGAATGTACCTGAGACTGAGGAAGATGCTGGCACATACATTTTACTGAAAGGAACCGTGGGCTCTGGGAAGGCAACATGGGAGGAAGCCAGACAGCTGGAGATGGATATGAAACTTATGGCAAGATGGAATCATCAGACTCAAATCTTTTGGGTGAAAGCAAAGCTGGTTCAAAAGGAGTGAGAGAATGAGTATGGAAAATGTCAAAGCTACAGTTGCCAAGAACCAAATCCTGGGTATCTCTTAAAAACCACCTTGTTTTTCAATTTTATAATAAATATATACTGAGATAGTATATTTGGAAAATGCCAAATGTAGGAAAATAATTTTTAAAAGTCACACCTTACTACCCAATTTACCAACTGCTGATAGCTTGGTATATATATTTTTCCTAATGAGTTTTTCCACATTATTTAGTGGGTGCATACTTCGCATCCTGTGTCTGCCACTTATTCTTTGCACATAAACATTTATTTTATTGTGTAAACTCTTTACAAATATGATTTTAAAACTTGCATAAAAATGATATTCCTTATTATTGGGCACTTAGGCTGTTACTGATTTTTATTAGAATAAATAAAGCTGCCATAAATGTTTAAGTGCATAATGATTTTCTACATTCAGTATTACTTCCTTAGACTACACATATCAGCCATGGATCAAAGGGTCAAAGGATAAAATCTTTTTAAGGATTTAATAAATATTGCCAAATTATGCCCCAAATGATATCAATTTTAATTTACTAAATAGCTAAAAAAAATGTAAAGGATTCTACAAAGAATATCTTTGTACAGAACAAATGTGGCCAAGTCTCAGAACTGTGGAATGCAGGAACAAACAAATATATATGGAACTTTTATCCCAACACTGAATATTTATGTGAAATGCTATAGATAGGAAGGATGGTCAATACTATGTTTGGGATTTTAATTATGCTACTCTGTGCCTTAAGTCAATTTTTTTTGCATATATTCTCTTACACACCACACTTCATTAATTCTAAGACGTACATTTCCCCCCACATTTAACACCTCTGAACCACTGAGTCACTTTACTTGACAGCAGGTTTTTTTTTTTTTCTTAGTAATGCACAAAACGATGAGACATCTCACAATTGGTGGTATATTGATTCATGAAATACAGTAATTCTGGAAGGATAATATTCTGCTGCTTATGTTTGTATGGACCCAACACCCACTGCATTTAGCACAAGCTGTGCACAAATCTTGGGATCAGAAATCAGTCACACTAGTAACAGTGACAAAGCATAATGTATTGAAGATAGGCTCAAGTTAAGTTGGCTCTTTTATTATTATAGTCATGGGGTGCAGTCTTTTCAATACTATTTGATTTTGGTGTTCAGGGCACTACATTCAACGGGACATGAATCATAGCTGTTGTGAAATAAAGTCATTTACAAAGGGATAGATGTCACACAAAATGTGCTGCCTCTCAGGTGTGAAAGTTACTTTTCAAGTTTCATGGAGGTAACATAACAGAATTATGTGTGTCTTTGTGTACAGGAAGATCAGGGAAGAAATATCAGTTTAGAAGAAGAATTCATTATCCTGTTCAGGAATTCATTATTACCCACCCAAGGCAGATAACAATTTATGCTGAGCATGGAGTGAAGAATGCTAATTTCATATATTTTGTATGCTGTGTGCTTTCTAAAAAGATGCTGGAATTTTCCAAGTTTGGTATGCTTAAAATCTTTGTTTTCTTAATATGGAATTGGCATAAAAATAGGCATATAGATCAATGGAATAGAACAGAAAGCCCAGAAGTAAATCCAGGCATATACGGGCAGTTAGT